GCGTCGTTCGTATGCGGTGGTTAATGGAGCAAAGAAGAATCCCTGTGTAGCCAAATAGTCCACCTTTGGGTTTAGAATTATGGGTTTTGTGGGTCTATTCAAATAGCTTTTTTGAGTTTGAGAAAATTTTTAACAGATGAATTACATTCCTGTATGTTTCTACTTCTAAGTGGAACAAACAACATGTTCTGACGACTTAATGAATTTAATTTTTAGAAAACTGTTAAGGATCTCCTGTCCTTAAAACGTGGAGACATATTTCTTCTCCATCTGCACCATTGCTGCCCATGCTGGCCAGCCTGCTCCTGAGGCCGAGCTATTACAGTTGTTGTGTTACATTAATGCATACTCCAGATTCTCTGAAATAATTTGCTGAAGAAAAATGAAAAGACTGAGGGATTTGTCAGAAGGCAAGTCTGGCTTTGGGTTGATGATAAGTTGACACCAGGGATGATGATGTTATTATAACCTTCAAGGGTTATTTCCGTTAGCCTAGTGTGAGAAAAATCCTTTCTTGTTTAAATAGTCGATGTTAGAGGCTTGTGGATCATAAACTTGAGAATTACTATCAGTCTCTATAAAGCTGGGCTCTCACCAGAACTGCTGAAGGAGGATCTCTGGCAAGAGAATTGATTTGGGAACCACTGTTTTATGTGAGGTTGAGGAATGGGGACCATTGTCTTCAAAATCTTTCAGACAGAGTTAGAAGTAGAAATCATGGTTTCTGGTTTTGGTGATGCTAGAAAATGTGCAGGAAAGGGAGGATGAGAGCTAAATAAAAACAATGATGTAGTAATACTGTCCTTTCCATGAAATCAGCTATCTGTGATATAGTCAGAATCAAGGGGTAGTCCCCAAAATGCTGTCATTCCTTCAGTGCACTGGGGTAATAATCCCAATTCATCAGAGTTTCTGACTCCTTTGCAGATTATTCACACTTTTCTTACAGTTTTCATAAGATTATTTGTAGTTTATTAATTTATTCATTAGCTCAATGAAAAATTTGCTGAGTGCTTATCTAAGGAGAGGGGTGCTGCGAACAGAAAGTCACAACTTAACAGCAAAGAAAGAGACAAACCTACAGGACCTAATTCCAAGAGATTATTTAATATTTAGTATTGAGGCAAAAACCCTATTCTCACTGATAGGCTTTGCGAGTTGGTTGCCTCAAAGCTCTATGGTGTAAGGTCAGAGACAAATAAACCCACTTCATAAAAGAATTTAGCAAGGAAAATTGAGCTTGCCATTTGATGCTAAATACTTGAAACCAAAACTTACTGAATCTATACCACATCTGTGGTAGAAAAAACTCAGTTCTTGCCTGTACATTAATGTAGTTCTGAATTAATAGTTCGTAACATCCACCAAGCAATGATATGCCAGTCAAAAGCAAATCCAACCATCTCTTTCAATCCAAGTCTCAAAGAATTCTCCTGTATAAAGTTCCAAGGAACGTGAACTCAGAGGAGAAAATACACAGAGAATGCAAGTAAATAAAGCATCATGTGCTTTTGGCAAGAGAAACAACAGACAGCAGAATCAGACCTACAGAGTTTGCAGAATGTCAACTAACAAAGTTTAATGAATCTAAAGTAATAAGAGACAAGATTAAAAACATGAGTAGGATAAGAAACAGTGAAGACTGACTGAACCAATTTGGAAAAGAATCAAATAGAATTTCCAGAAATGAAGAACACAAGAATTTAAATGAAAAAATAGATGAATTAAATAGCTGATTAGACATAGTTGAAGGGAAAATTGATAAACTAGAAGGTAAATTTGAAAAAGACTCCAGGGATACAAAAAGATGAAAATATGAGAGAAGTTTAGAGACACAGAGGTAGAATGATGTCTAAACATGCCTCATGAAAATTCCAAAGGTGAGAGGAGAGAGAATGGTGGAGAGGCCATATGTGAAGATTGCAGAAAGATGATGATATTTTAAGACTTCGCTTATATTCTTGAGTGGCATTGATTGGAGGGGCAGAACCCAGAGGCAGATGACCACTCTGGGACCTCTTCTAGAGTCGAAACGAGAGGATGAAGACCCAGATGGTGGCTGGAAGACTAGAAGAAAGTGGACAAACCTAAGAGACAAGGTCAGGCAATGCTGACTGGACCAGGCCACTTGTCAGCTCACCACACCTGAGTTTAGTCATTGCCTCCAAGGAAGCAGCTGCTCCCTCTTCCTTGTGTCATGGCAATGACTTATGGAGCAAAGTCTTATGTCTCTCCAGCGGGCCTCCTCCAGGCTCAGCATCACCTTTAAGATTTGATCATTCATTTGACAATGTCACTGTAGAAAACAAAGAGCCTATATCTGATTTCTGAACTCAAAAGAGCCAAGGGGATTTGGTGGCCTGGCAGGATGATGGTCATAGCCAGTAAGGCCTTGCACCCTGTCCAAGGGACATAGTGCTCCAGCAGGAACCCTCCAACACCCTCTGGAGAGGAGGGTCAGCCTTGAGCCCAGCTGCTGCTACCCAGTATTATCTGTCTTTTGACTCAGCGTGAAGTGCAGATGGAATGTATGAGAAAGAAGAGGGAGAATACACGTTTCCTTCCTTCCTTTTCATCAGCAGGAGGTTGTCTCTGGGGATCAGAGCAGGCTCTGACCATGCTTCACTGAGTGTTCCTCAGCATCAACTCGTGTCTACAGCATCACTGCTAATTACTGAACAGATATCTTAGGAAAAGCGTTCCCATTCATTCCTGTCTTTCCTTTTTATTTATTTTTGACATGGGAGAGTGGAGGTTGATAGTATCCATTGCAGATTTATTTGTAAGAACTCTTTGGATCAGATACATTTGGAAGAACAAGCCCTTTCTCCTTGGCCTTGTCCTTTATCCAAGAAAGTGATTTTGGGCAAAGTGTTCTTCCTACCAGGAAAAATATCTTCCTGATGTTGAGAGTGAGCTATAATTTTTTAGTCATTTAAATTGCAACTCATTATTTGTTTACTGTTTATTTAAACTAAAAGGCTGTATGAAATTGGGCTGTCAGGGTTGGGGCTCAGACACAGCTGCCCGTCCTGGACTGCACAGTGTATCTGTCAAGAGCAACCTAGGACCCCCTTGGAAGGGGCTGCCTTTTGCTTCTAAAACAGGGGAGGAGAAGATTACATCAAGGAGGAAATTGCCGTTTTATACGGTAAAAGGAGCATTTTAATGTTACATGAACAAAAAAGTTAAAAATAAGAGCTCTTAAGTGCTGGGTTAGTCCAGTCATTTATAAGACTATTCCATAATGTATCAGTGTTTTAATTTCCTTTTATTTATATAAGTGATTATTGTGAGGATGATATCATCTGCCTTTCCCCAGAAAATCTCCACAAAATATATATATACAAAAAAACCCAGCCTCTGGCTCAGTGAGGAGCTGTCCTAAGGTTCCCGATCTGACCCTCGCCTTCCCTGGTGGCAGCTCTGATTGAGGCTGAGCCCATACCCTAAAGCCCATCCTGGGTCCCTGCCCCACGTCCAGCCCAGCAGCCCCTTTTCTCCTGCTTCCTCTCACCTGGTTTCATTTGTGTTGCCCTGTGGAAGGGAAGGGGCCAACCACATGGTCCTGGCCTGAGCTACCAAGGCACAGCACCCTCTGCCCCTTCTTGTCTTCCCCAGAGGCAGAGCCCATACAGCTCCTCACGTTCCAGTCGGAATATTGCTTATCTTTCTCAGCGTTGGGTCATGTTTGCTAAGTGATAAAGGCAAGTCGCAAAGCTATGTTCATAGTGAGATTCATTTTTGTTTAAAAAAATTGAGATTGCTCCAAAAATGGTTTGGAATATATGAATATAAATTTCAGTGTGGTTATTTTCTCGGAGTAGTGGGATTGTGGGGAGTATTTTTGTTCTTTTGTTTGTATGTACTTTTTTTTTTTTTTTTACATAAAATTAGCAATTAGACAGTAAAATAACTGCTTTCTAGAGCAAAGTGAGGAGGAGCTAACTCATCACCTTGTTTATTGACATGGGCGTAATTACAGAATCTCGGATCCTGTCATACTTACCGAGAACTTACCCGAATAAAGACTGTTTCCACGCGGGTGGGTGTGCACTTCTGACTTAGAAGGAGCGTGTGGGTCAATGACACGAGAATGTCTTTCTGCTCATACTGAAAGATGAAAATTGCTCAGAAAGTGGTGCCGTTGCGTGGAGATATGACTAAACCAAGAAAGACCTCAATAGCTCCACAATGCTTAAGAGAGGGAGAAGCTATGTGGAGCTAGACTCTGAAAGGAC